TTTAATTAAAAGAATTAGAAAATATGTGATGTGTTATTTTATTCTGATGAAATTTGTTTGCATTCATATTCTGACTGTAAACAAGCTAATCCTTTTACTCTGCCTCATAAACTGTGGTCTGTGTCCATTAGAGTATGTCACCACAAAATCACATACCCATCAAGCATTCCCATGAGAAAAAATTTGTTACTCTTGCTTATTGCTGGTATCCCCCAAAAGCTCCAAGTGGATTTCTGAATAATAAAAATAATAATAACGATGATGATGATAATAATAATAATACAAACCCTGGCAGTTCAAGAAATCCATTTAATTCATTTTAGGAAAAATACTTCTTGTGCAATATGCTAAAAGTTGTTAGGATTTCTGAGAAAATATTAAAAAAATCATATTTAACTAGTTTTTAGCTGTGCAAAACAATATTCTGTATTTACAGCAATTGTGCAGGTGCGTGATAGGTACATATTAAAAGTTTCTCGAGGTATTAGCATCAAAAAGTTCTTGTCTGTAAGATACATCTGCTGAAGTTACAAAAGGAATGGCCAGACCCATCCAATTTTCTGCTACATTGCTTTACTGGAAACAGCCTAGAACATTTTATGCACAGAGGTAACCTGCCAGCCTAAACTGCCCACCACTACAGTTTAGCCATGTTTTTATTATAGCTCTGCCTCTTTACCTTCATTTCCTGTGTGTGAATGTTTGAATGTAGGTATTTCAGAAATACTCTGCAATATATTTAAAAAATTGAAACCGTCCTTACGTATTTTACCCATGTAATATTGTGCAACCTCAATTTAAAGCAGCAGCTTTAGCTGTAATCCCTGCCTCTTTCTTCTCCACTGTGTTTGTGTTTTCTGTCTGAAACAGTTAGGGACATGTTTTACACTTTGCACTCCTCTACCAGTATTTGTTCCTCAGCTGCTGTGTAGCTGATCAGTGCAGCATTTCAGGATGGATCTGTGGCTTTGTGTACAGTCAGTCCTGTCCACCTGCAGTTGATGCAAATGTGTTCCTGGATGCTTGAGGGAGAACTTGTTGGGATTTCACAAGTGGGTTGATAGCAGATGGTTCATAAGTGCAATATCATGGTCATATGATTATTTTAACCAGCAGATAAGTATCCTAAGATGTTTTGTTGCTCTCTCTCTCAGTTCCTTGATGTTCTTTATGTTTGGACTAATGGATTTAAGCATGTCATGTTCTGTTTTCTAACATACAGAAAAAAACTTCTGATCTACTTTTAGACTACTTCGAGATCTGGGTATACAAGTTTTATAAGTGCCTAATAATGTTATTGGTCTAAATTGAATAATAACAATGTAACTTGCACTGATTGCCAGAACAGTAATGAAAATGGTGCATTTCTAATTTACTATTTATATTATTAGTTAATCTTGATAGATTATATCTATTTCTCATATTTAAGGAGTGATTACTATTTAAGTAATTATTATGGTCCACTCGGTTTCATGTAAATACATAGCTTTGTGAGAAAGGTGAGAATTCTTCTCTTATTCTTAATAAAAACTTACAGATAGTAGCACTGAACTGCTCTAGCAGTGCTGTCTAGTACCTGGCAAAAGGAATGTCCCTACAGTTTGAGGAGAAAATAGCATCACATCTGAGGGTTTACTGGCAAAAAAGCCCTGTCAGTTCTTCTTGACTTCCTCCCTGTCTCTCTTCACATAGTGCAAGTGGGGCAGAAAGAAAACGCCTCCTTTCATGTCAGTTCAGATTTTTTTATTGCTGTGTAACAAGTATTTCATTAATCAAGTTCAAAAATTTTTCCAGAAAGCTATTTCCTTTTTATAGCCACATTCTGGTGGAAGTAATTACTGTTTTTCTTACTTGACCAGTTGACTTTCTGTCATTTGGTATTAAAATTTGATGAATTTTCCACTGCCATCAGTGGACTCACTGTGTTTAACACTGAGAATTCTTATTTTTATCGTCCTTACTCTGCCCTTTGTGGATACTGCCTGAAGAAAGGAGTTGTATAAGTGGCTCTATATCTAAGGACACAAAGGCTGCTGTGTGCTTGTTTCCTTCTACAGCAGTTTTGTAACTACAGGCTTGTAAGGTGCCCAGGCAGAGGAGTTTTCCTCTTGTGCTGTGTAACCCTGAACAACCTTGTTTTTGAGCACCTTTTCCTTGTATCTCTTGCTTCATGAAGGCCATTATTGTGAACTGTTCTTTCCACCCATGCCAAACTGGGAAGAAGTTCATAGTCACTTTGGCTACTGTGCCTAAGGATGTGGTAGTAGCATATCTAGTAACATTCCTACAAAGCTTTTTAAATGCAATATAGGCATTTGGGGAGCATATTCATCAGAACTTTCATATGGCATTGCAATACAGTGGAACATTAAATATTTGTTCCATTTTGCTGCCTCATTATCTGAGAGGAACCTACAACGGCTGTTTACTTGCTGTAGAGATTCCAGCCCGAGAAAGTGGCTAAGTATCCCCTCCAGCATATCAAGATCCCTTCAGCTTTGCTTACAAAATCAAGCTTTAAATGTGCCTTTCCATTGCTGTAGTTATCAGCCTACATACCAAGTTCCCCCTCCTCCCCCTTTTCTTTTAACTGCTTCATCCTCCAATCAACAAATAAATAACAGAGAGGGAGAGCTTAAATATCTATCACAATGCTATTCATTGTTATAAAGACTAGCTGAAAAACTTGTGCTCGAAAACTTAGTATTGCAATGCTTCATTAAAACTGATTTGTAACCTCCTCTGTTCTGTTTGAATAGACTGGTGTATGGACCACACTCACCAAGATCGAGCAGAATTTTTTAAAACCACTGCGTGTAGGACTCAATATGTCAAAAGCACATTATGAAGCAGAAATAAAAAATAAGAAAGAAAACAGAAAAGGTTAGTTGTTGGTTTTTTTTCCTTAGTTTTGTTCATATCTAGAGACTTTGATAATCCTTTGGAAACAAAGAATTGGTGAGTGCTGTATAGATCATGTTTTATTTAACTGTTGATGCTGTTCCAAACCTCAGATAATAATTCAGCAGTTGCTATATTTGATATTAAAATTTTTCATAATTGGTCAGAAAATCCGAACTTGTCTATCTGTCATCACATTTGTAAATCTTATGGAAACCTAACAGAACTGTCACATGAAGACCTTCAGAGCTTGTTCTGCATTTATAGTTTTGATTTTAATGTTCCACAGGAGCAACTAAGTCTCTCTGAATACATGGCCCTTAGGTTTCATACCAGGTGTGGGGAGGTTAACGAGAGAAGAAATAAGTGACACAGTGCTCTCTAAAGCCTGAGGCATTACAATCTGGATTTTTTTTTAATTTTTTTTTTAAATCTGACACACAGAATCAGGTTCTGCTGTGGGTTAAGCAGACACGTTGCATGGGGCACAAGAGCTGAAGCTGCTTTAGGCAATCTCTCTGTATGTCAGATCCTCTGTTCCTTGTGGTCTCCAGTATAAAGACAGCCTAAGGAATTTGCATCTGCTACTAAAAATGTCAGTACAGCTTTTTGCCCCTAGTCTTACCCTATTCTGTAGTAAACCATATAAGTATGAGGCAAAGAAGGGTTTTTTTGTCTGAAGGCAACCTATGTATATCTTTCTAAAGGGAGTCCTTCCAAATTAATCAGGAAGTTTTTTCTTTAAGTCCCTCTTACATTTCTCTAGCCTTTGACAAAGTATAAAGAGATTTGAGTTCAGGAGAGGACATCTAACTTGTGACCTTAAATGGTTTACCTTTCTTCCCCAGTGTATAATCTTTGTAAGAATTATATTTTATTTTGAATATATGGTCTGAATGTAAGAGGTTTTCCCCTTAGTTTTCAGACCTGTCCTTATAGTTTAGCCTGCTGCAAGTAATCTCTCTGAAACAGAGAAGCCTGCAGCCTTTTCTTAATAAAATAAGTATTTCATGTCTGGATTCATTAAATCAAACTTAAGAACCTCCTACTGCCTCCCTGGATGTGGAAATTTTAAAAATATATCAAAACCTGACCATATAAAATTTATTTTTCCTTTCCAAGAGAATTTGAGCTGTATAAATTGTTTTGAGTTGCAGATCTTGCCTGTCTAGTTATGTAGGTGTTCATGTTATAGAAAGTGTAGAGAGAGCATCCAGCTCAAACTGCCTTCCTCTGAAGGTTCAGCACCTTCCATTCTGTTTGGTCAGTCCCTAGGTTTGTGTTCTTAACTATTACTGTCTCAAAATTCTAATATATTGAATATTCTTTTCATTCTAAGAGTCATGTTGGTTATTTTCTTCTACAGAGTCCCACAGTTCTAACACAGTTTGTTCTGTAACTGTTAGTGGGGAAAAGATGCCTGCCATGACTACTGGAATGCAGCTTCAGGTTAGTTTGTGTTTCCTTCAGAGCTATTCAGAAGTATTGCCATCTTCTTTCCAATGTGAAGACAAAAGTAGATGTACGGCGAGTTAAAAAAAATCTAATAAAAGTAACACTGATCTTTTTTGTCATTTCAGGTTTTACACTCGGCGCTCTTCACATTTGATTTAATAGAAAGTGTTCTAGCTCGAGTAGAAGAACTCATTGAAGTGAAAATAAAAGCTGTAATGGATGAAAATAGTTAGGTCAGCTGAAGTATATGAATGAACATACTCCATACAAGTTCATTTAGACTGGGAGACTTTAGTTGCAAAGGAGGCTACCAGCCTTTAAAGAGGAGCAATTTAGAGTGGCCTCCAGAAGAATTGCAAATGCTGCTCTTCATAAGTCTTGTTGCATGTGATTCACAAATATGGTCTGTTTACTCCTCTTCAGAATTTGCTGCTTTCTCTTAAGTTTAGAAACTAAACAAGGTGGGGGTATGCTCTTCTGTTGGGGCGAGGAGGTATGGTTGGGCATTTATTTTTCTTTACATTTTCAGAATTTGTTAGCTAGAGTTACTGACTGGTATTGTGAATTACAAACATTTTTATAAAGTGACCGAAGAACCATTAATTAAAAAGCACTGTTAAAGCATAAGGTATTTTTATTAGCATGTTTTTATGTTGACAAACTAGCTTGTATATTTGCAAGCAGACTGTAAGGTATTGCTAAGTAACAGTATAGAATATACAATCTATAGATAGTAAAATACTCTGGCAAAGGAAGCCAGGTTTAAAGGAAAACACATCAACTTTGAGCCAAGAAAGATCTTGAGCCAAGATCTGTAACATAACAGATAATGCTTGTGTTTAAAAAACAGTGTAAGATTTCATACAAATACCTGTGTATGCTGGGAAAACCTGTATTTTGGAATTGTTCTGATCACACTTATCTTTAATGATAAAGTTTTCCTTAAGACATAGTAAATATTTTGGGAAATTATTTATAAACAGATGAGTCTGTAAGTTCAGAATCAAGTTAAATAAAGATGACTTTTCTATAGTGCATCTAAATCAGTTTTCCCCATGCTTGGAATGCACATTTGGTATCAAGTATGCTATTTTTCACTGTATAGTTATTTAATATGAATTTTCATTCCAAATGCATATATTGTATATAGTCTTTTGAAATGTAACTATATTTTTAAGAACATTCTATATTTTGTTTAAAATGTAGCCACTCTATTTATGAATAAAAACCCCAAACATGAAATTAATTACAGTGCAATTGGTATTCCTGGAGCATCTTCCAAACTGGACTTTTTTCTATTATTTGGGCTTTTGTCATTTCCAGTTTGTAACGAGTATCATCTGCTTGTGGCTTGGAAGTCATCTTAGAGAAAAGAAAAGTATTATGAGTAGGACACAGTAACTCCTAGGTAATAGAATATTCAACATCTTATATTTCCAATAGTGCAAATGCAAAGTTATTCAGCAGTGAAATTTGAATCACATTCTGAAGTAGGTATTCAGGAGTGATGTACACAGAGGTGACAGTATTTCAACAGGAGGTGGGAATGGCTTGGGATTAGTTGGATGGTATTGCTCCCTTGGCCATGTCTGTTCACGTGGGGCAAAAAGAAGTTGATTTTTAGGTCCTGTACCAGTTAGGGATTCTCTGGCAAATGATGAGCTCATTAAACTGGCTTTGCATCAGTAAGAAAGAATGTAATGGCAACCAGCAGACTGGTGATAGGTGCTGTCACTGCTTCTTACAGGGCTCTCCTGTTGCAGTTTGGTGCAAATGTTCCAAAGAAGCAGAAAAGCAAATTCAAGTTTATAGGTTCAGCAGTAATCTTAAAAGCTTTTAGGTAAATGCTGTATTAAGAGTCTGGGCATCACTGTATTCCATAAAAAGTACAATATTCAGCATTGTAATATGTATTTAACTTTTGCCATACATTAAGTGAGATGAAGCTTACCCACTTTTAAAATGATGCATACTCTGAATAGGTTAATGCTTATTATTTTGAGATGCCCATTTCAGGAAAGCATAGAAGGTAAATTAGTTTTTGATTCCTTCCTAACAAGTCATTCAACCTGCTCTTTCTAGTTTTGGTACATGGGATACTGCTAGTACTGATACAGTTCATATCTAAAGTTAGAGTTTTCATGGAAAAATGGTCTTTAAAGAGTTTCAGTAAATAGATTTAATTAATAATATGTTGCTGATACTGGATATGTTGCAGATCCAGAGACACATGACAGTAAGCTGTAGCAGTAATATACTAGTGTGTGCATCACTAAAAATTCACAAGTAACTACTTGTAACTAATTTTTAAGGTAGCATTTTTACTTTAAGTTGAAGTCATTACATATTTAAATCTTATGCTGGTTGTGCACTAGTAAATGAAGACATTCTAACTTAACAGTGGTAAGAGCCAAATGAGGTCTTAAATATGTGTCTTTGCAGATGCTATTAAGAGCTTTTAAGTTACCTTTAACAATAGTTTAAAGACTCAGCTAAAACATAAGATCCTAAACGTTCAGTTCTACCTCAGTGTATTAATGGATTGTGGTCAGTATAACCCAAAGTTCCATTAAGGAAAACCAAATGTTTTATAGTTCTTGGCTTTTCCTGATTATTATACTAATATTTTTAAGTATATGCAATGGGACTTACCTTAGCCATAGTTAGCATTAATTTAACAGTTTCAGCAGGATTATGAACTGGTATTACACGTAAATTACTGCCCAGGAATCTGCACATCAAAATAAATTAAAGTTAAGGTTACTTTTAGAATGTGTATTTAATTAATTATGCTATAAAACTCAAAGTGCATTCCCACATGTTGTAAACAACTTTTTACTGTGCAATTTTATTTACATAGAGACTGTTTTTACTCTTAAAAGCAAGTAGAGAATTCATGCTGTTTGTATAGCCATCTGTCCCATTTCTGTACCACTTATTTAGGTGGGATTTGGAAAGGCTCATTTCTTTATCTAGGGCTCTTGGACAATCAGTCAGCACTTCTTAAGCGTGTTTACACTCAGAGAGAACTAAACCCTCCTCTGTGATATTGCTGAAGACTATTCTCAGTGGCAGTAAAAAATATGTGGGTTATTTTTATGGCTTTGGAAAAACACAGGAAAGTATCTAAAACACTGTGCTAAAAATACTTCAGGATTTGAGCTAAATCTTTGTAGTTTACTATAAATAAAACAACCTGTATTCCAGATGAGGTTAAGATAATGGGATAATTCACTTTCACGCCAGGGCTTTTTCACTCAAATACTTTGACCTAAAATTCATTCTCTTTCTATAAGTAGTGTTATTCATATGCATTCGTTCTTGAGAATGGAATCTGAAGATTTTAAATAGTAGCATCAGTTGTCATTCAGTGCAGCCATGGAGAGATCAAAGCTTAGGCAAGCACAGAGCCTCTCCTTCAGACTGGTACCTGAAGTGTATTGTAACACTGACAAAACGTCAGCGTTGCTGCTGTTTTCTGTTGTAGAGCTAAAACAGGAGAGGGACTTAACAACAAAGAATGAGGAATTTTAAATAAGCAAAAATGGAATCCAAATGAAGTGCCCAGCTGCTCAGTTGCACACTCCCCTGTGACCTCCCCTTGTGCCTACCACCTGCTCTTCCCTGCAATCTGTCTGATGACTTGGACTCAGTCACGTTAAGACCTCGTGCTGGTTAGGTATCTCATCTGAACTTGTCTGCCCTTCTAATTAGCAAAACTGTTACAGACACTGTCCTTCCCTAAGCGTAGGCACCCAGGTCTTGGTTGAGTTTTGCTAAAATCTGATGCAGGAACTGTGATTTGATTTACATTCAGGGATTAGAGAAATAAATTGATGCAATTTTATTAATACTAGAATGGGCTAAACAAAGCACGAATGAACAAAGTGCAACAAAGAAACAGTTACATGTATTTACCTAGATCCATGAAAATCTGTTTTTATAAACAGTTCTGCTTCCAATTACAGCAGGTCTAAATTTAGTTTTATTAATTTGTTTAACAGACAGAATACTGGCCATTTGAACACATCTGGTCTTTCCTCCAGGGTGTTAAAAACCTAACATACACACCTACTGAGGTTACTAGTGGAATGCTCATTTAAGCTACTGCTTTTCTCCTGCTTCCCCCACGCTATACACAACCTTACAGAAGGTGTTCATGTTGTTGATGAAGAATCCTATAATTTTCTTGTTAATAATAAAAACCAATCCTTCCCCAGTTGCAGCAAAACCATAGATAAGCAGAAAGAAACAGTAATAGAAGGCAACCTGAGTACTAAGGTGTTCTGTTTTTTAACAAATCCAACAGGTGACTTGTAGTTTGAAAGAACGTGGCACAAGTTGCAACCCCACCAATGCAGAAGCTCAGTCAGTGCTTTACATACAACAGAAGAATTCCAAGATACCAGGTAGTAAAAAAGCAAATGCATTTAAAATATAATTGTGCCTTGTCAACATGAATTTGATATTGCTTGCAATGATAAAACTATTTTTATTTTAATAAGATTACTGACTTGCCAAATGGAATACAGTTCCAGAACATTGCGTTTTAGTGATCAACAGATGCACAAATTCTGTTGTATGTAACCAAAATCTAGACTGAGAAATTAGCCTTGCCATCAGCTGAATAACAGGTTCTTGCTGAATGGTGGCAGAACTTTTAAGACCTCTCATGAAAATGTATGGCATTTTCACAAACGGGTAATAGATTTCTTACATTTCATCCCATACACTCTGCTATTCATCAGCATTTGGCAGTATGCCCAGGATTTAATGAAACTGGTGTTTGTTTCAAGGAGGTAAAGATCAAAGACTTCATTACAATAGTCACGTCTTGAGGCCAAGAGTGACAGTCAGCTGCAGTTAGGGCTACTGTACCTACCAGAAAATAGTCCTGACTACAAGCAGTCCGATCACTGTTGTCAGCAGGTATGTACAGAAATATGCAAGTTTTCAGGCTTCATTAGAAATCACAGACAAAAGTTTTAAACAAGCCAGTTTTAATGTCCAGTTTTATACTTTTGGTATAAAATAACACTATTTCAATTGTTCTAGCTCTGTATAATAGACACTGTTCCAAGTAAACAGATTTTAAAAGCTGGTAAATAATCTGCACTTGCCAATAAAGCCTCTTCTAATTAAGTAAACTTGCCTGTTCTGTTTTGAAAATGACCATGAAAAGATGGTGACAGAGCTAAGAAAATTACTTCATTTTTCAGTTCAAGAGAAAACTTTTATTATATTACATAGTCCTAAAGTGATTGAAGGGAATATTACTTGTTATGTTTTGAGGTACATCCTCTTTTGTTACCTATAATATGTCAGATTGTCTCACTTTATATTCTCTTTATTAATGCCTCAAATAATTTTCCAGTATATTAGCAAAATAAAACACATATTCCTGGAAATAATTCACAGAATAGGTAAGGTTGAAAGAGATCACAATGGTTCATCTGGTCCATCCTTCCTGCTCAAGCAGGGTCGTTGTAGAACACATTGCACAGGATTTCGTCCAGATGGTTCTGGAATATCTCCAGTGAGAGAAACTCCACCACCTCTCTGGGCAACCTGGTCCAGTGCATGGTCACTTGTGCAGTAAAGAATCACAGGATATGCTGACTTGGAAGGGACCCACAGGGATTATTGAGTCCAACTCTTAAACCCTCACAGGACCATCCCCAAGAGTCACACCATGTGCCTGAGAGCTTCTTGAACTGTCAGGCTTGGTGCTGTGACCACTTCCCTGGGGAGCCTGTTCCAGTGCCCAACCACCCTCTGGGTGAAGAAACTTTTTCTAATTTCCAACCTAAACCTCCCCTTGCACAACTTCAAGCCATTCCCTCAAGTCCTGTCACTGATCACAACAGAGAAGAGATCAGTGCCTGTCCCTCCTCTTCCCCTCACAAGGAAGTTGTAGACTGTGATAAGGTCTACCCTTAGTCTCCTCCATGCCGAACACACCAAGTGCCCTCAGCTGCTCCTCATACAGCTTCCCCTCAAGCCCTTCACCACTTTTGTTGCCCTCCTTTGGATGCTTTCTAATTTTGCCAATTGCCTCTTGTCCTATTAATTCCTAAAATAATATTCGCAAATCTAAGAGTGCTGCTTCATTTCTTCCTAGCAATAAAAAGTCCGGTTTGATGGTGAAATCTTACCTTTTCTGAATCCTGAACATGACATTCCATTCTTCTGATCCATGAAGAGCAGCTGACAAAACCAGAAAACTGTTCCGATGAATGCCTATGAACTTCTGAATTCTTTCAGAAAACTGTTCTTCCCCTGTCCTAAGCAAATCTTGAGTGTCTGACAGTATAAATGCAACACCTATTGAGGAAAATCATGTAAATGTACCTGTCATGGCAATAATGGGATTAAGTTCTTACCACAAACCAGGAAGTAGAATTCTTAATTTAACCATTAGTTTAAAAGGCAATGGAACAAAACACATGAATGAATTTACACATCTTTGACAGTGAAATGCAGTCATGAGATTTGGCCACTGATGACTAGTAATTTTAAGATAAAACTAAAAATAACTCAGAGGTTAGTTTTCTACCATAACATTAAAAAAAACCCCAATTATTCAATCCACTCAAAGTAGACACATCTGAATGCCTTTGAAAGCACATGCTTCAGGAACAAGCAACTGCTATAAAGGAATTAATTTAGGGCAAATGCAAAGGCTGACTGAAGAGCTCAGCAAGTCCTGTTTTTAAATTAAAGAAACAGTTTTAAAATCTTAAAAGTTAGCTAAACTGTCTACCATGAAAAATGAAACTATAGCCCTTTCAACTAAGTTATTCTGAAAGGGAAAGTTAAGAATACTGAAGTCTAGTAGGCTTAACAACTGAGCATATAAAAGACTAGGCCAATGCATGCTAGTCCTTATAGTTCAGAAAAACTTCAGATAAAGGATCTCATCTACATGTCTAAACCATCTTCTGCTCTAAAAAGGAAAATAGATATTTCATGTTTATATTTTCAGTGATTTCCTAATCAAAGCCACTCAAACAAGCCTTTCCCCACCTCCTCTGCTACCACCAGGTCTGCAAATTCAACTTGGAAGTTGAGAGCCGAAGGTCTTGGTTCATTCTTATGTTTATAGCTGTGCATACTCAAGATCTCGATGGCAGCTTACACGTTAGTGGCATTCAGCATGTTTGCTCAGTTATAACAAGAATTTACTGAACAGTTCAGTTCACCAAATCTCACGTAGCTGTTCTACAAGACATCCAAAAAAAGTAAGAAACACTGAAAATGTTTTGTTCCCGAAGTTCTCTGTTTCATCTGATTTACATTCAGTCATAGCACAGCTCCTTTCACTACTGCACAACATTCCAACAAGGCAGATTTTATTCAGTTTAGCAGAGCCCACAACAGCACCTCATCTTGTACCTCATTGGAGTTTATGATTTAAAAGCATAAACTTTAAAGCACTGTACCAGAAAGAGGAAAAATCACAGATCCAGTTTCCACTGATTCTGAATATCGAACTCGGTGGTGTTGCCTCTGTAGAATTGTAGAAATTTCATGATCCTAAATAAATTTTAAAAGCTTATTTTAAAAATATGTTTTCAGCCCACAAGTTAAAAATATCCTTAAAGCATTGTCTGAACCATTATAGATAAACCTTTAGCATTGTCGTTTAAAAATGAATTTTATGGTGAATGGAATAAAAACTAAGTACTAAAATGTTGAACATTTTCAATTAATGAATCTTTGAAGTATTTGATTAGAAGTGACACCTCTGTATGCTCACATTGTTTGTCACAGGAAAACTCCTGCATAATGCATAAAGAAATTCAAACATTTTACAGTCTATTTTTGTAAGAAATGCTAAAGGAGGATTTGCAGAAATGAGGAACATACAGTAGTGTGTTTCTATGACTCCAGTTTATTAGACTGCATTGTTTTCACAGATGTCACCATCTGAGTTGGAAAATAGTTCAGAAATTCTGTATGGGACATGATTTTCTTTAAAGCTTTTTGACAGAATGCAATCCACTCAGGAAAACTAATAATCATAATAATCTACAGAATGGAAAGGGTTTGGATGTATTTTTCAGCTTGCAAAAAGCATTTCTGCAACATGTTCTACGAAAGCTGCTCGAACACACATATTTTAAAGGTTAAATCACTGAATCCTTTTTAGCTAATAACATGTTCTTTAACCTGCCCATTTAAAATATAGCCAATCTGCCTATATAGGAAAGTGTCATGATTTAGTGGAAGAGTACAAAATAAAATCTGTATAGCAAGTGAACCCTGAAGGAGACAGTAACCAGAAATGTCATGCTTTCAACTGGTCTGGAAAGGGAACACTCAGTGGCAACTGCTTATAACTACAATTTTGGAAAAAATGCACAAATGTAAATAACAGCTTTAAGAAAATGGTAGCTGTCCTGGAAAAAGAAAAAGCTTATAACCAAAACTGATACAGAAAAGCCATCTTAGATTTGTGTTCAGCTTTGTGTAGGAAAAGCCCTTATTAACAGCAGTAGTTTTGAATAGAGCTGAAGGTTTTATTAATAGCAATGCGTTATGCTGGTATAGCTGATGAAATCACTGCCACCCAATACCTCTTACCATATTATGGATTAAGTTGCTCTTGAAGCAGTTCCAAAACAGTCACAGTTTACAGGCTGTAAATTCCAAGACACACAGGCAAATAAGAATAGGCTTTAAACTGAGGTGATTCAGGAACTATTTCAACATGGTTCACCCATTTACCCAGCAGAGATGGGGTGATAACCTTGTCAGCCAAGCTAGCATGAGATATTCTTGCCTGTGAATCAAAGCCCTCTTGCCTCTAAATTCTCGTCAGCTGGCATGAAATTGGCCTCAGCTGCAGAAACTAATTACCAGCTCATTGACATACCCTTTCACTTTACTTGGGAACACAGCCAAGGCTTCTGATGTTAACGGATATAAATATATATCAATATCTGTAGGACTCACTATTTTAAACTGAATTACGTGCTTACTGAGCGATCCTCTGCCCCAATGTTGATACTGTGTAGTAGAAAATAAAGTGTTTAGGGAGAAATTCAGAAAATTGAGAAACATTTCTGATGAAATTATTTATAGTGCTAACTGAAAGCGGCATCAGGGCAGTGCAAAAATGATGAGCCAGGAGAACAATCCTAAAGCAGTGTCACTCAGAATAGCAGGTAGCAAGAATACTAAATAGATACGGAAGTAGCTAGGAGAAAATACAGACACACGGAAAAAGAACCAGAACTCTAGTAGAAGCAGCTTCAGACTAATAATATCCCTGTGTTATCCTCAAAAAACCTGTATTTGTTGACATCGAATAAAATATTTCCACGTATAGAATATAGGACATGATTTTTTCATCATTTCGTAGTGAGTCAGATGCTGGTCTTGACAAGTGGTACCGTACCTGCAGAGCTGTGCTCATAATGACTGTTGTTATCCATCTCGTCTGCTCCTGCCCACAACTTTCTGTCATTTTCTTCACTGGCTCTGCAGTGAGATCCCAGGTGACACCGTCTGAAAAGCTTGGGAAAAGAGAGACGACAACTATTTCCTGCCAATTAACGAGATGTTTAAAGCACAAGTACACATTAAAGAGCTGATTAAAAACCAGGGCACTGCTCAATTCCCCAGAACGTAACAGGTGCCTACTGCCAGTGAACTAATTTAAGATGGTAATTAAATACCTAAATGGCTTTAAAGAATCTGCATATGAGCAGGCTTCCTCTATAAGGCATAACACTGTTCTGAAAATATTCCTGTCTGTGCAGCTTGGCAGGCGTTTCTGTCTCCGCAAGGCTCATGTGGAGCAGTCGTGGGCACGGGAGCTCCCGGCAGGAGCGGGAAGCAGCCCGGGCGCTGGGCCTGGGTACCTTTGTGCCAGATGGTTCCCAATGTAAGCTTCAACCGGGCCTCTCCCCGATCTAAAACCCTATTTCGGCGCTAAACCGGAGCCGGCGGTGGCGCGGCCGGAGGGCGGGACAGCGAGAGCCCGGTGGCGGGAATGGGCCGGTTCCCGCCTCCCGCCTCAAGCCCTCAGGAGGAGCCGCGCCCGCTCGCACGGGGCGCGCGGTCCGGGCAGCGCTGCCTCCCGCGGCCCGGACATGGCGGGCACGGCTCCGGCACACCGTAACTTACACACGGGCACGGAACAGCGCCGGGGTGAGGTGAGGAGGCGCCGCAGCTGCCTTTCCTCCGCCGCTGCTCCATGGCGTGCACTGGGACTGGCTCCTAATGACCATCCTGGAAGTGCCCCCATAAAGACGTCCAGAAACTTGGCGTTGGCCTGTGCGCCTGCTGCCGTACAAGGATAGGTTGTGTGACATTTTCAGCACCACTTCCAGTGAAAAAAGAAATACCGAGAGTGTTGGAGCTTCTTTTTTCATCATGTGAGAGAAAACATTACTTCATGTAGTAAAGAAAAGCCGGAGTGCGGCCATAAGAAGCACTGAAAAAGCATTGATTTCCAGCTCTGCTCTTCACTCAGGCATAAGTCTAGCTTCAAATACTATACTGAAACTGGCATTTTACTGAAAATCTGAGATTTTAGTAAAAGCTTTTCCTTTTAAACCACTTTAGAGCGTTTTAAAATAGAAGTGACCTCATATATTACAAATTATACATTTAAATAGCAAATTGTCTGCCTTGCATAAAAATAATTAGACATCTTAGTGATTTAAAAATCACTCTTCTCCTTTTTGTTCTAGACAAGAAGTGGATTCACATCTGACTTCCCTCTCCTGTTGGTGCAATGCATCGAAGTTATGGTTACCCTGGAAGGATATGGGAATGTCACGCTACTTTTCCTAGTAAGTCAAATATTTCTAATACTGAATTTTAAAATTTCTGTGGAGCATAAATGTGACAGTCAGCAAATTAAAGGAAAACAACAGATGTATTTGGTATCCCGACTGCTGTGTTCTGGAGAGCTGTGACAGGACCAACCAACTGTGAAACTGTGTCCTGTAACACAGTGGAACCATGTGCTCTGACTGCACCAAAATCAGAGTTAAGAACATCAGGAATTACTTTAAAGTACAATTATAAGGCAGTTTTATGATGACGGTTGATAATCCTGCTGACATCTGTCAATGTGAATTTTGAATTCATGCAGACTATGAATGAACTTGTGTTTCAGTACTACAAAAATCCCATGGGTAAAGAGTAGTAACTTTTGTTGTAGTGGTTATACTTGATTTATGACACTATAGTATATTTGAATTCATGTTTTAGATTATGTCTAATATATACATGCATTAATTGAATTACAACAATTCAAATGGAGAAAAAAATAGTAGGGAATAGAATGGAATGAAAAATTATTTCCAGTTTAAATATCTTTAACGGGTGAGTAGATTTCTGTTTCTTCAGTGTAATGCTGTTAGAAATGTACAGTACATACAAGGGTACATTATTACATTAAAAAAACTGTAATTACAAAGAAATATAAACACTGGATTTAGGCTCCCGGGATACCTGCGAATGCCTTTTTCCCCTATAGCCACTTATTGTGCATGGAGTTAGATGCTCTCAACCTCAAAATTCCACTTGAGACGCATCAAAGTACAATGATGGATAAGTGTGGGACAATAAGGAAAACCCCAACCTTAACACAAAATGCTTCCCGGCAATATTTTGACTCCAGTTGTTACATATCTACTTGTGTAAATTGTGTATCTTAATTACAGTTGGCAAAAATTTATACCAGAAATTTATCTTTCTCCTTGTCACATTTGACAATAGTTCACATTTGAAACAAAAATGAGACTCTGAGACAGAAAATTCTGAGCACAATGAACCCCATGGTGTCCTGTGTAAGAGCCATCCTGGCCTAAGGCTTGTCTGGTTTAAGTCTTATGCAATGGGGCATGCTGAACCCCTGGACTAGGAACTACTCAAGGGACAATTCTGGTAGAGGTTTGTTCTGCAATACCATTCAAGTCTGAATCTCACTACATGAATTGCCTTTCTCTTTTTTTGAGCCTAATGTCAGAAGGCTAAAAAAAAGAGCTTGGACTCAAAGAAAATAATTTTTTTTGGATTGTGTATTCTTCAGAGCATTCTCCACAGAAGTTTTCCTTCCCAAAAGTGACTTTTGAGGGATCCTGTGCTATCTGATGAGCTAAATTTATTTTAATACTTATGGTTATCTCTGCTGTGACAGTTTCTGACATTTTGGTAGTCTTAGCTTTAAACCTCAGAAGCATTCCTTTCCCACATACCTACATGGTGCATTTCACATACGGGTGATGGTGCAGGAGAGAGAAAGAATAGGGCTGAGTCTGGCAGCACATCAAATAATTCCTGGAAGCAGAGCAGAGAACCCCATTTAGGCAGGAATAGAAAGATCTTGGGATTACAACTCCCCTATGATGAAGATAATGGTGTAAGCATTTGGATGAATAACTAATTTATGACAAGGTAAAATCTATCATCTAATTAGTGTTTCTCTGCACTGTCCAGAGCCATATCCTGTGTGCTCTATATCAGCACCACTTTTTGATTTTGTAGGGCAGTTACACAGGTCTCTTCCTCTCTATGCATTTTATATGAGAATTGATTGTTGATCTTCACACACATCACCCATCTTGTTCTCTGATTACACAATCGAAGAAAAATTAATTTTTTTCTTTTTGAGGAGAAAGAGGAAGAGTGAAGGTTCACTAAACACATAGAAAAGTAACGCTTTTTTTTTTGCAATTGACAGAGCACAAATAAAAATTGATGTCAGCAGTCCACAAGTTGAATGAAGTACAATGACTCAGCATTTAATTTACACATAGGTTTATTATTTTCTGTCATACAGAAACCAACTAAGAACCTTCAGTATGTAGCATGGGGAAGAAAGGTTTTGGGACTATGCAACCATACAGATATTCTGGAAGCAGAAGACGGTGTCGACAAGGAGTCATTTGGAAATACGATTACTTAGGCCCCAGCTAATTATCTAAATCTGAAAAGCAAGCAGTTGGAAAACATGCAAGCATTCAGTTTGAGAGCTTAAAACCCTCCCCCTCCTTCCACAAGACTGAGTGGTCAAAATATTCTTGGACCATAAAGTCATGGACTATAGCTAGTGACTCAGACTTTCCTCCAGATGCATCCCGTTATGCATATATTGGATTAATCTTAATTACTAAAACATGATAATCCAGAAAATAGAGATTGAAGTTTTCTTCTCTACAGATACAGGAGGACATTTTGTTACAAGTAGGAAGTTTGATTTAAAGGTGGGTCTCATGTTTGTGGACATTAAAATTACCTCAGTCTATGAAGGTCACAAAAAGTTTTTATACTACTTACACTAGATCTGGCATGTACTTATGGTTTGTCCTATTTATACTGATCTTAAGCACACTGATGTAACTCTACTGAGAGGCAGGATGCCATTCCACACTCAGAAGAGTGTTATTTAAAAAAAAAGTGAAGAACTAAAATAATTTCATTAAAAACAAGTGTAAGAAAACCACAAACATTCCTAAATAAGGACTGCATAAATGAGGATGCTGTAGGTTTAAGTTGGTGAGATCAATCTCAAAAGTGGGTTATAGAGCTAAGTTACATGAGCCAAAGTTTTTACTCAGGTAAGTAGTCTTTCTGTTCAGACACTTAAATACACTGATTTTTAGAGATGTGGATCTCTCACACTAACTGCAGTGGGAGCTTAGAACAAGTAGCCACTTTCACTGGTGTGCAAAAGTATAAAATCTGATGGACTACCTGGGTCACTGGGCTGAGTCCCAAATTTGTGCATGTGAGCCTCTGTTCAGGTTCACCAGAATATGCACTCTAATGCAGTTAACAGTCACCATCCTAATCTGACCACCAATGTCCTTGTTAAATACATCTATTTATTGAGTTATAGGCAGTCCCTCCAAATACTGAGGTTTGAGTTATTGAAGACATGATCAGTATTCATATTTTACTGTGCAATAGCAAAAGAAATTTTGCTGTATGTAACGTGAAAAGTTATGATTTCTTAGGACTTTGATTTCTCTAATTGAATAGTCTTCTGAACTGGCAACTTCAGCAATAAATCAAGGAGAACAGGGAAGCAACTTAATGGAATTCCATTATTAATTATTTCATACTTTAACTGCATCCAGATGGCTCATCAGGATTAGAAGCTCATTAAGCTGAGTACTGTATAAAAGCCCAAGCATGCCCAGTGCCTGCCCCCAGTGCCAGCTCCATTACCCTTTCTGAAAAGCCAATGTTAAATGGAAAGCCAATCTGCAAATGTGCATGTGGATTCGCTCCTGTGTTTGCAGAACTGTGGCCTAATGGACTGTACAGTACAGACTGCAAAGTATAAAAGGAAAATCAAATGCAATAAACAGGTGTGCATGCATGCATTGTATAGCTTTTTCAGTTATTATATTAGTTACCAAATGTAAAAAAAAAATCAAAGAAATTATCAAACTCAGTATTTTTCCCCAATTGATATCCTGTTACAAGTTTAGTTTCCTTAAACACAGATAGTAGTTGTCAATAGGAAGAAGCTTGGTTTTAAATTAGCTAAAGAAGAGATCTGAGCTGTAATGTTTCCAAAATGGAACACATTAAAGCTTATTTTTCAAAAAATATCATATATAGCTTGTGTTCAAGAGAGAGATATGAAAATCAGTATGGATTTTCTGCAAGAGATGAAAGCTTCTAATTATACTGGATTTCATATCTAAAAGCTCATTTCCAGGGAATCATCTGTTGTAACAAAGCTGCAATAATTCTCATCCTGTCTTTTGTCCTCAGTTCCTGTGTAGTCCTGGCATGAAAGTCATCCATCAATGTAAAAATGTTAAATCACTTCAGTCATGAAATATTAACAGAATGCATACAGTTATGACTAATAAATTGAAGTCTTTCTAGCTGTAATTTGTCACACCTACAATTGTACAATGTTATTAGTAGAGTAAAATTAGAAAACTATGAAATAGATATACTGGAAAAATAGCATTTCTAGTACATGCATTAATATAAGCAAGGCTTGAACCTGCTTCAGCTGAGGTCAACAGTCTTTGACATTAGTGAAAGCAAAATA